GTTTGAACTGTTATTGTGTCTAACAGAGGAGAAAGTGGACTTTAATTTTTTTAAATACATTTCACTCTAAGCAGTTTATTTTTAGGCTGTTTATATTTGCAAGCGGGTTTTACCCCCAAAACAGCCAATAAAACTAATTCAAGAGCCTCTGGAAAAAAAAAAAAAAAAGGTTTGTTTCTTCAGTGGGACACCTTTAGGTGCACAGTTCTCATGCTCAGACACTAGACGGCAGGATTTCACTGGCGTTCAGCATCATTTCATGGCTGCAGCTGCTGAGGAGACTGCCCCTGTGGTTAAATGTTATTTTGGGTCCTTTTAATACACAAACATCATAAGAGCTTTTAGCTCTATTTGTCCCGTTAAAGCTGGTTGCTGTCATAATGTGCTTCCTCATCAGCTCCGACATCCAGCGTTATCCTCCCTCACACTCCACCTTGCTTACTTTGAGATCTTCCAACTGTAATTTCTCAGCTTCACTCCAGCCACATAGGAAACGCATACACCCAAATAATCACATGTTCTCAAAGTCACAAGTGGCCATAAACGACGTGTAGGGTAGCCTATGTCCTATTTCAAAATCTTCCTGACCATGCACATCCATTTATAGTCAATGTCTCCTTTTAATGCACATACACCACGCAGGGGATATTTGCTGAAATGATGATGAGCTGCATGATTGAGGGCTTCGTTGAGTTTCTATACGAGGCGTCTGCTGAATACACGTGACTGTGATAGGCATCTTTCACAAGTTTAATTAAAGATTCTCTGCAACATGGCTCATGCCTCATTTCAATCCCCCTCCCATCATTTTTTTTTTTAGTAAATTAGACCAAATTATCTGTAATTTTCCAAAGTGCTACCGTCTCTGGCTTAAAGCACTTAATCACGTCTGGCAAGTATTCGTTAAGTTCACTCATCCTGTCAAATAAAAGTAATGTAATTTGTGAACTTGGTTTCCAACTGTTTGAAAGTCGTCTCGTTATGATGTCAGGAGAGACAGCGACAGGTCTGCGCACCTGAGACTGTGATGATGAAAGTCTGCTGCGTTACGTTCGACACATGCGAGTCAAGCTGGAAGAGGATCACTTTAAAGACAATAAGATCACTACAAGACTTTTTGGTTTAATGCTTTGACAACATGTTCAGTCACGTTTTATTAGCTGTGGAAAAAAACGTGTTTATTTAGCAAATATCCAGCTCTTCTATTTTGGCTGAACTGTGTTGAATGCCCCACCAGAATGCCAGCAGTTTAGATATTTTTCCTGGTTATGCTACATTATTTTAAAACCTCTTTATGCTTATGTACTTAGGGGAGGCCCAGCCTTCCCAGCTTTAGTCAGATTTAGATGAAATGACAGAGCAAAGGAGGGTGGGGTTGGGATTTTATATGTCTATTGGTTCAGATAATTTCAGCTTATTCGTGTTTCTCAAACATGTTCGAACCACAGATGAGCTTCTCCATTTTTAGTTCCATGTTCTGAGAACAATGATTCATGTCTCAAAGCAGAATAAAGTCAAACGGTAGCATCTGCATACGAGGACGTGAACGGAGGAAACATTCCTGTTGAGCCTTGGCCTGAGCTGCAGTTGAGTTAGCAGCAGTTTGAACGCTGCTTATAGCTGTGCGGCAGATATTTTTATTTTCTACACACACCACTGCCCTTTTTTAAGACGGGCCTTGTTCTTGTGCTTGCAGCGTGGAGCAGAAGCCTGTGAGCATGCATGACGGAGCTCTTTCTGCTGAGCTCGTTACATCCCCGCAGCAGCTTGATGTGGTCCGCAGGCCTCATTGTAATAACCATTAGAATTGAGGGTTAACAGCCTTGAAGCTCGTGCTGATGACGCCGCTTTGCTCTTATATTGTCATGGTGCCTCACTGTAAACTACACACACGTGCACGCGCACACTTTCGGTTTCATGGCATTTCGCACACTTGAGATATAACATTAAATGGCTTTACTGAATTTACAAGCACAGCTAATTAGGAACACACCCAGAGTCGACGAGTGCAAACGGAGATTTTGGAGCCAGCTGATCCAGGATCAGATTTATTTTATGTGAGTTGTGACTGATCCAGTGAGAGAATCCTGTTCCTTATGTTACATCTGAGTTTGTACTAAGAAACATGATTATTTAGTGTTAAATACTGACACTAAAGATAATATTTAGATGGATGGATGGATGGATGGATGGATGGATGGATGGATGGATGGCCAGACGGATGGATGGATGGGCAGGCAGAGATGGATGGATGGACGGATGCATGGATGATAGATAGATAGATAGATAGATAGATAGATAGATAGATAGATAGATAGATAGATAGATAGATAGAT